GTCATAGATCTATATTTCAGGTAGCGTGTCGTCCAGGTTCATCGTCATACATCAGACAGAAGCTAACTTCCACAAATAAATCAGGATTTTTAGTGACACTCATCAGATTTCAGTTTCCTATTCCACATTAGTGAGACTTTATGCTGACCTGGAGTTTATGTCATGTAGAGCATTTTTAATTTTTGGTGAAGTGAGTTTAATGGTTTTTAATCAGAAATACAATTTTGAGTGGAAAACTAGAAGATAAGTTAAACTTTGATAAATAACAAGATAGAGCCAATAGATCAGATCACTTAAAAATGAATTAATGTGGTTTATTTAACTGCAGTAGTGTAGAAGTTATTTCACTTTGATATTTTGATTAGAAATGCAGCCGTTTCTGACCTTGTAGAATCCTCGTTTTCTCGTTGTTCTTCTGTTTGGACCCGTTCATTCACTGCAGGATTATACGTAAAAGAAGGGCAGACTAAATGGAAACTTTATGATTTTTATATAAAAACAAATACAAACATGCAAACCATCTGTCCCAGGAGATCAAGCATAAAACATTTCAAATGCCAACGCTGTGAGCCACTTCCTGTGTTCATGCTTGGAACCAACACCCACATTTATTTTTAAATCTAAGACAGAAGCTCAATTAAAAACATCTCAGACTGTGTGCCCGCCATAGACTAATTCAATGCAAAGTTGTTTACAGGGCTCACTATACCAATTCACGACTAGCAAAAATGTATTCTTCTGTAAATGATGCCTGTGGCAGATGTAAACTCTCGCCTGCCAATCACTCACACATGTTTTGGTCATGTCCCAAGTTGAATATATTCTGGACAGGGATTTTTAAATCCCTGTCTGAAGCATATGGTTCTCTGGTTGTCCCTAATCCAATGTCTGCAATCTTTGGCATCCCCCCTACTTCTAATTTGCCTAAAGGAATGAAGCGGGCTATAGCATTTACCATGCTTCTAGCTCGTAGGTTGATCTTACTTAACTGGAAAGATTCTCATCCCCCTTCGCATGCCCGCTGGATTCGAGAGGTGCTTTACAACCTCAAAGTAGAGAAGTCGAGGTTTTCTCTTAGAGGCTCCGTCAAGTTAATTTAGGCTACATGGGACCCTTTTCTTAGATATTTTGACTCTTTGAATCTTCTTGACCCTGAGGATACTTGAATGTCTAACATGATCTCTACTTATCTATCTACATTTACATCCATGTCTACCCTTTTTTATTTATTTTATTTATTTATTTATTGGCCTGTGGGTGGGGTGGGCGCTCAGGGTGGATTGGGGGTTGACAGAACTGTGACATTGAGATTGTATTGACACTTTGAAATTGTCCCAACTATGTCTGTCTTATGTTCAAAATGTTCAATAAACAAAGTTAAAAAACAAAAAAACATCTCAGACTGTCTCCCAGGAAGCATCAAGCACCAAAAAGTCTCACAACCTGAAGGCTGGAACATCTCTGGATGATTACTCATAATTCCTGGAACTAAGTATGTTCTACTGGTTGTTCTGGCCTTTAGGTCTTCCTCTGTACGTAGCTCTTTTCGCTCCAAAGCCATGATGGCGGGAAAGCCTCCCAGAATGCAACTGTCGCCTCGTAGAGAGACATCAGCGAGCTGGTCGCAGCCAGAGCAGGTGGACAGAGTCTTCCAGGCGCTTCGCAGCGGACTCAAGTAGGTGGAAATCAACACGCCTCTGCCTGTCCCATGATGACGGCTGTGAGAAAGAGGTGGCGGCGAAATCCTTGTCCAACCAGCAGTTCAACGGGAATCTAACCGGAGCATTAGGCAGCTCAATCCTAATCTAATCTACATATATAGAAGTTTGTCTTGTAAAACTTGTAAGATTCAGAGATATGCAGAACATCTGATAGAGCAGATTGGAGATGAAAAGAAATTGGAATGTCAGGATTAGGGTCAATGTCAGGATTAGGGTAAATATCAGGATTAGGGTAAATGTCAGGATTAGGGTAAATGTCAGGATTAGGGTCAATGTCGGGATTAGGGTAAATATCAGGATTATGGTAATGTCAGGATTAGGGTAAATATCTGGATTAGGGTAAATGTCAGGATTACGGTCAATGTCAGGATTAGGGTAATGTCAGGATTAGGGTAAATATCTGGATTAGGGTAAATGTCAGGATTAGGGTAAATGTCAGGATTAGGGTAAATGTCAGGATTAGGGT